AGAAAACAAAATTTTGTTGTTTGTTTGGGTTTTTGTTTCCCCAAAAGAAACTATTTAATGAGTATAAATTTCATAAGTACAACTTTAGGAATATAGTGATTCTTCCCATTATACCCTTCCTCACACACTGACTCCCATCGCACCTCCTCACTTTCCCATTCCCAGTCCCATTCTCCATTAAGAGGGAAAAAAAGGCAAACAAACAAACAAACAAAAAAAAACAGTTCCTCAACAGTCAAAACAAGGGCTGTTCAAGTCTTTGCTTCTTTTTTTTATTTTTTTATTTTTTGACAGGCAGAGTGGACAGTGAGAGAGAGAGACAGAGAGAAAGGTCTTCCTTTGCCGTTGGTTCACCCTCCAATGGCCGCCGTGGCCGGCGCGCTGCGGCCAGCACACTGCGCTGATCCGATGGCAGGAGCCAGGTGCTTCTCCTGGTCTCCCATGGGGTGCAGGGCCCAAGCACTTGGGCCATCCTCCACTGCACTCCTGGGCCATAGCAGAGAGCTGGCCTGGAAGAGGGGCAACCAGGACAGAATCCTGTCGCTCCCCCTCTTCTTGGAGGAACGACACAGGACCCTGCGCTGTTCTTTTGTCTGCTCGGCCCTCCCCGGGTCTGCTGCTGGTTCTTCCCGGGTTGGCTACCATCCCTTCCACCTCCGTGGAAGGGCGGTTCCCCCTGGCCACTTTCCCCACTTCCGCAGGGGAGCGGCATACCACCGGCCGGCTTTCTCGGGGGCTGCACAGGTGTTCCCTCAGATGTTCCTGGTGCATGTTGTCTCTCTCCTCCTTTATAGTCCTCTTCCACCAATCCCAAACTCGACTGCCCACACGCCGAGTACGCTGCTCTCCTCCAATCAGGAGCAGGATCAGCTCCTGGAGGTCATCACTCAAGTTGGCAAGAGGCAGCTGCGTAGAAGCTGTTTTCTCCTCTCCCAGCGCCATATTGTGGGAGAGCAGATGCATAGAATAAGTCTTTATTCCAGCAACTCAGTCCAGTCCGGGTTGCTCCCCACAGAATCCGGTGCCCCGACCGGGACTAGAACCTGGTGTGCCGGCGCCGCAGGTGGAGCATTAGCCTGTTGAGCCGTTGCGCTGGCTTGTCATTGCTTCTTAAATGTCAATTTCACTTATACAGATTTCCTTTTAGGTATTCTGTTAGGTCTCACAGATCAGGGAGAACATATGGTATTTTTCCCTTTTGGACTGGCTTATTTCACTAAGTATGATATTTTCCAGATTTCATCCATTTTGTTGCAAATGACCGGATTTCATTTGTTTTGTGTTACCTCTGTGTAGTATTCCACAGAGTACATATCCCATAATTTCTTTATCCAGTCTTCTGAAGACAGGCATTTAGGTTGATTCCATGTCTTGTCTATTGTGAATTGAGCTGCAATAAACATGGGGATACAGAAAACTCATTGACGCTGACTTCATTTCCCTTGGGTAAATTCCCAGGAGTGGGATGGCTGGGTCATATGGTAGGACTGTACTCAGATTTTTGAGGTATCTCCATACTGATTTCCCTAGTGGTTTTATCAGTTTGCATTCCCACCAACAGTGGATTACCTTTTTCCCTACATTCTTGTCAGCATTTGTTGTTTGTTGGTTTCTGTATGAAAACCATTCTAACTGGGGTGAGATGAACCTCATTGTGGTTTTGATTTATATTTCCCTGATGGCTAGTGATCCTGAGCATTTTTTCATGTGTCTGTAGGCCATTTCAATTGTCTCTATTGAAAAATGTCTGTTTAAGTCCTTCACCCATTTCTTAACTGGATTCTTTTTTTGTTTTTGTAGAATTTCTCGATTTCTTTATATATTGTTTGTGAATCCTTTATCAGCTGCATTGTTTGCAAATAATTTTTCCCATTTTCTTGGTTGCCTCTTCACTTTGCTTAGTGTTTTTTTGCAGCACAGAAGCTTCTCAATTTGATGTAATCCCATTTGTTGATTTTGGCTTTGATTACCTGTTTCTCTGGTATCTTTTCCATGAAATCTTTGTGCCAATGCCTTCCAGGGTTTCCCAAGTGCTCTGTAGTGATTTGATGGTATCAGGTCATAGATATAGGTCTTTAATACATTTTGAATGGGTTTTCATGTAAGGTGTAAGGTAGGGGTCCTGCTTTATACCCTTGCATATGGAAATCCAGTTTTCCCAAACCATTTGTTGAAGAGACTCTCCTTGCTCCAGGGATTGGTTTTAGCTCCCTGGCCAAATATAAGTTGGTTGTAGATGCTTGACTTCTGGTGTTTTTATTCTATTCCATTGAGCCATCTATTTTTGTACCAGTACAGGGCTGTTTTGATTATAACTGCCCTGTAGTATGTCTTGAAATCTGGTATTGTTATGCCTCTGGCTTTGTTTTTGTTGTATAAGATTGCTTTAGCTATTCTAGGTCTCCTGGGTTTCCATATAAATTTCAGCATTTTTTCCAGATCTGAAAAGAATGTCTTTGGTATTTTGATTGGTATCACATTGAATCTGTAAATTGCTTTCAGAAGAATGGGCATTTTGATGATACTCTTCCAATCCATGAACATGGAAGATTTTTCCATTTTTTTTGTATCTTCTTCTATTTCTTTCTTTAATGTTTTGTAATTCTCAATTTAAAGATCTTTGACATCCTTGGTTAAATTTATTCCAAGGTATTTGATTTACTTTTGTAGCTATTGTGAATGGGATCAATTTCAGAAGTTCTTTTTAAGCCATGGCATTGTCTGTGTATACAAAGGCTGTTGATTTTTGTGCATTGATTTTATATATTGCTGTTTTATCGAACTCTTCTATGAATTCCAATAGTCTCTTAGTGGAGTCTTTTGGATCCCCTGTATATAGAATCATGTCATCTGCAAATAATGATAGTTTGGCTTCCTCATTCCCAATTTGTATCCCTTTGATTTCTTTTCTTTTTCTTTCTTTCTTTCTTTTCTTTTCTTTTTTTTTGTCTTTTCTTTTTTTTTTTTGTCTAATGGCTCTGGCTAAAATTCCAGGAATATGTTGAAGGGCAATGATGAGAGTGGACATCCTTGTCTGGTTACAGTCTCAGTGGGAATGCTTCCAACTTTTCCCCATTCAATAGGACATAGGCCCTGGGTTTGTCATGAGTTTCCTTGATTGGGTTGAGAAATGTTCCATCTCTGTTTTGGTTTCTGTTAGCATGGAATATCTTTTTCCATCCTTTCACTTTCAGTCTGCATGCATCTTTCTTACTGAGGTATATTTCTGTAGACAGCAAATAGATGGGTTTTGTTTTTTAATCCATTCAGCCAGTCTATGTCTTTTAACTGGAGAGTTCACGCCATTTATGTTAAAGGTGACTATTGATAAGCAACGACTTTGCCCTGCCATTTTTCCATAAATATTCCTATTTTTTACTTTGTATTTCCTTTGTACTTTTACTGGGAGCTTTCCTTCCTTGACTTTTTCCATAGTGACGACCATGTTTCTGTGTTTCTGTGTGGAGCACATCCTTGAACATCTTCTGCAGGGCTGGATGGGTGCTCACAAATTCTCTGTTTCTGTTTATCATGGAAGGTCTTTTTTTCACTGTCATTTGTAAATGAGAGCTTTGCAGGGTAATATATTCTGGGTTGATTTTTTTTTTTTTCTCTTAAGACTTGGACTATATCTTGTCATTCTCTCTTAGCCTGTAGGGTTTCTGATGAGAAGTTTGCTATGAGTCTAATTGGAGATCCTCTGAAAGTAATCTGGTGTTTCTCTCATGCACATTTAGAATCAAATAACTAACTAACTAAATAAATAAATCTTTTTTAAAAAATGGAAAGAGGATTGAATTGAGATTTTCTAAAGATGATATGCAAATGGTCAATAAGCATATGAAAAGACGCTTAATATCATTGTTATTAGTGAAATGCAAATCAAAACCAGAATGGAACAGCATTTTATGCTCACACTAATGGATGTAATGCAAGAATAGACAATCCTGTTGGCAAGGATGTGGAGAAAGTTGAGTCCTCATACATTACTGATGATGTTGTAAAATTGTACTGCCATTTTGAAAACAATTGGCAGTTCTTCAGAAATTGAAATATAGTGAAATCATATGACTCAACAATTCCATCCAAGAAAAAGAAGCACATTTATCCATACAAAGACATCTACATGAATATTTATAATGTAATCCTTCAAAATAGCAAAAAGTGGAAACAGTACAAATATCTGTCAACTAAAGAACAGGTATATGATGTCACACGTCTGTAATATGGAATATTATGTGTCCATAAAGGAAATGAAGTCCTGTCTGAAATGTCCTACAACTGGGTGATCTTTGAAAACATTAAGTGGCAGAAACCAGCGACAAACAGCACCCAGTGCATGATTTCATTTAAAGTAGGAAAACCTGCAGAGACAGAATTAGATCAGAGGCTGGCGAGTGCCCGGGTTGTTAGGGGAGGCAATGGATGTTCAGTTTCTTTTAGAGGACGTAACAAATGTTTAGATATTTATTCTGGTGGTGGCACATCCCTGTGAAAAGCATTGACTTGCACACATTAAATGGTTGAATTGTGTGCTACTTATATTATGTCTCAATGAAGTTGTTCAAGTACAGTGATTTAATGAACAAATTGATACTAAAATAGTAATAGATATCAATATTGTATAATAGGCTCAAATACTTTGAAGTTCCTTGTATGTTCAATGAATATAAAATATAAACCTTCTGAATTGCCTTATTAAATTAGAATACGTCATCAATTTCTAAAGCAGGTCTCCTGAAGGCTACTCACAAACACGTTTTGATCTGAAACATGCATGTATTGTTCCTCAAACAGCCTTTGTTATTTTCCCATCTTTAAATCAGGACTTAGCTTCTCATCTGAATTTAAATCCAATACCAAGTACTTAGTGGACTGTGTAGATTTTACTAACAACAACATCAAAAAAGAAGGAGACTCATGGCGGGAGTGGGGAGAGTCAAGTTTGTTAAGATTCCACGTGGGAAATCTTTGAATAAATATCCCACTTTGCATTTCAGTGATGCCCAGAACGACTTCTCCACTTGGCGTATCACTGCCGTGTTGCCCGCTGTGCTCCGACCCTTCCTCCCCGCAGTAGGGTCCTGCTGCTGCCGCCTGCTTGCTGACACGGAACTTCCTTGCCGTCGCAGCTGCCTCATTTTCAGTGCCAGCTGACCCACCGTCTGGACATAGGACTTTCAGGTCGGTGTACTACAGCTTTTTCTCAAAACTGTTGACGTGTTGTTAATATTCACAGGAAGTATTTTTCTCTGTATCTAGTTCCTTATAGATGAAAGAATATTATTAAGGCATTTGGAAACACTGGATTTCTAAATATGAGTAATTATCATGTATAAAGTACAAAAACGTTGCCTTTGATCTACCATTGATTGGTACAAGGTGACAGATCTCATAGTGGAGGCTGAATAGATACAAACATGGAGATTGTGGTTCTTGAACTTAGGAAAATCACCATCCAGCTCCCTCACAGATGTAATGTAAACTCACATTCCTCCAGCTCTGTAAGGAAACTAAGGTGAAGGAGGAAACGAAGGGTCAGAAAGATGGTGATGAGTCATGGACCTAGTGCCCAAGAGTGCACTTACAGTTTCTAATAATATATATGTATATTTAATTTGAGCAGTGAGCCACATTAACTATAAAAGTTTGCATACATTATCTTACTTAGGTTTCCTGGAATTCCATTCATAGTTCAGAAACATTTGATCAGTGTAACCTGGACAAGTTCATTTACCCTTGTATCTGCCAAGGTTCTTACAGAATCTACTATAGGTAATTGAGTAGAAAGGAATTTGTTACAGGTAAGTCCGTATTGTGACTGGATATTTTAGTGTCAAAGTGGGAGTAGACATACTCATGTTGATGCCTCATGAGGTTTCTGAACCTGTATATTCTGTCTTAATTGCTGATTCAGGGTACTAATTGCTGATTCAAGGTACATCTTATTTTCTGAAAGACAATTCTAAAATACCCCAGGTATGTTTCTCAGCAGATGGTATAACTATCTTCGAAGTTCCTTCCTGTGGTTGGTTTATAGTTTTACGTGGTTTCTAAGTGGTGAGGATCATGACAAGCCAGGGAATCCTGTGGACATAAACCCTGTTGCCTTATTTCTATTGTAAGAATATTGCATTCTTGAGCAGAACAAGTATTGGGCAGGAAAACACCTTGCTGAATACGATATCCTATGAGAAATAAATAGTTGCCATTAACACAATAACAAGTTTCTATATGTCACATTTACGGCTGAAAGAGCAGAGATAAAATTTTATTACCTTCGATGTTTGCATAATAAATAAAAGCTTTCAATTAATACACTAATCTCCCAGTTTAAGAATTATTTTTATATAAAATAATTACCATGAGAAGAGAAGAAAATAATGAAAGCAAATTTGGAAATCAGTCAGAGTGGAACGATTAAGTTTACCTTCGACAACCTGGGAATTTGTTTCTTGAAAAAGATTAATAAAATGGACAAGTTTGTAGCACATTTGATCAAGGTTTGTTATTTTTTAAAAATAACATAAATTCAGAAAAAGTCTACATTTTAAAAGGAAGTGAAAGAATACTTGGAAAAAAAATTATGTCCATGAACCATTCTTTTAAAGATAGGTTAAATGCCTAAATCCAATTTATCATAGTTTACCAAAGAAAAATTAAGCATATGCTTCTATTTCCAATAAAGAAATGGAATAATTTGTTAAACATCTTTTCACACACACACACAAAAAAAAATTCAGGTGATGTTACACATAAATTTTAACAAACATATAAGGATGTGTAATTTCAGTCCCCTGAAGAATTTTCCACAGAAAAAAAGAGAAAATGTTGTAGTTTCTAAAGGTAAACAGAATAATGTTCCTCAAAGATGTCTGTGTCCTAGTCCCAGAATGTGTGAATATTCGTGCATTACCTCAGGCAGCAAACAGAATTTTGTGGACCATTTTATCAAGGACCCTGGGTACCCCGAGTTATCTGGACTCCCAGTGCAGTCTCAGGAATTCTTAAAAGGAAAATGGGAAAGGTGGAAGAGGAGCGTGAGAGAAAGAGATGACATCAGAATCAAGCTCCAAGGCACCACGTGCATCCTAAATGTTATAGAGGCGATAGCAAACCAATGTGTTCCTCAACTGATGTTGTCATAGTAATAAATGATCAACATAAATCCCACAGCAATTCAGAAAGACGAAGGAAAAAATATGACAATCTTTTTTTGTGAAACAAAATACAAAGTATCCTAAAGAAAATGTCAATAGTCAGAATCTACCAATATCTGAGAAATAGATTTTAAACTAGCATATTTTAGTGGGAATGCAAAGGTGGTTTAATGTAGGGAGAATAAATAAAAAATGTTAACATACTCTTAATAGATTAAAAATATTTCCAGTAAAAATTCACCACTCATTCATGATTAAAAAAAAAGAAAAGAAATGGTAATTAGAGTGAGTTTATCTTCAGATATAAGAAAATCTTCTAGAAATAGTCTTAAGGCTAAATGTTAAAGTAACATTTGCTTTAAATCAGAAATGACAGGGGTATCCGTCACAACCTATTTGGCAATATTTCATAAATTCTAAGTAATTCAAGAAGATAAAAACAATAAATGATATAAAGAGAAAGCGAAGAAAAATTTATCATTTATATGTAATGGGAATTTTTTTTTTTTGTAGAAAGAGATCTACTGAGGAGTTCATCTGTAGTGCTAAGATACTGTTTCTTAATCTGAGTGGTGTATACACAGGTCTTCATTATAGTATTATGTAATTCTTATAGACACTTTGTATGTCCTTTACATATTAAGGATTTTAATCACAAATTTAATTTTATTGTACACAGTGGGCCTCTGTACATTATGTATTATAACTAATTTGATGTTTCACTATCATTTTGTTTATAACTTTTGTTGGCTTATATTATTAAGTTCTAGAGCTAAGAAACAATTTTTATATGATTCTGGACTTTATAGATGATTACTGAATATTTCCATAAATTTGAATACCACATGCTCTTGTATTGGCCTAATCTTAATCTTGAATATTATTGACTATTTAGAGCCACACACTACAATTTAGACTACATTTTCATTCCACTAAAAAATCCAACCCTAAGTTATATGCTGTAACCACAGAAACTGGTACCTTATTCATCTTTTAATCTGTTCAACAGATATAAATTTAGTAGTAAGGGGACAGCACTGTGGCTCAGTGAATTAATGCCCTGGCCTGAAGTGCCGGCATTCCATATGGGTGTCGGTTCTCGTCCCGGCTGTTCCACTTCTGATCCAGCTCTCTGCAATGGCCTGGGAAAACAGTGGAAGATGGCCTAAGTCCTTGGGCCCCTGAACCCGCAGAGACCCAGAAGATGTTCCTGGCTTCAGATAGGCACAGCTCTGGCTGTTGGGGCCAATTGGGAAGTGAATCAACGGATGGAAGACCTCTCTCTCTCTCTCTCTCTGCATCTTCTCTCTCTGTGTAACTCTTTCAAATAAATAAATAAATCTTTTAAAAAAACTTAGTGGTAAGTATTTTTATGATACAGGGATTTATGTGGTTCACAGTCTATTAGGAAAGACTGACTCAATCAATTCAATAGTATGATCCATTTCATAGTAGATTGGGGTGGAAACAAGTGGGCAGGGTAAAATAAAACATTTTTCTAGATGAGTCCATTCATTGGGCTGTGTTATATTAATGTATATGAGGGTACTTCAAAAAACAGAATTAGAAGATAAGTTCATTTTGGTGCAAAAAGACTGAAATTCAAACGTAGGGTCCCCCCCATAAAATGTATTTTTTGCAAACTTTTTCACCCCTCATATTCAGTGAAGCATTCTGAAATCTCAGACTCAGGTCTGCTTGGCAAGAAAAAAAGGAAAAGAAGTGTGAGGCCCCGAGCAGAAGTTCTGTTGGTATTGTTAGCATGGATTTATCTAATATCCCAAATGTGTTGATGAGCAGGGATTTTATGGAAAGAAGAGAGAACATTACGTTTTATACCTCTAAAATATTATTCCTGTCACTGAGGAAGAAAAGTGAAATTAAATTATATGCTCAGAAGTTATGGGTAGAGTCAAAAGGGGGATGATTTAAGGTTAAAGTCATGGGCTTTTATATCAGAACTCACAACATATTTTCATTAGAATGTTCTTTTAAAGTTCTTTTAATATCTTCCCAAATGCAGGTCTGAATCCTGCAATCCAGTGTAGGGCAGTTGTGAATGTAGGTTTCAGGGAGACCATACAATAAAGTCACTCTCTGTACTGTGATATCATTAAAGGATTAAAAGAAAAATCAGCTCATGCTATTTTTTCCAGTGCTTATAATATGTTTTACTCCTGGAAAATTTTTTTATTTGATTAAACTGCACTAGCTTAAAATACATTGCAGACTTTAACAGTTCTTCATAGTCTATGTCATGAAAAATATGTAACTCAGATGATTAGGAATAGTAATAGGCTAGGCTAAATTCCAGCCTCAACAGGTGCTAAATAGATTTCTTTTCTAGATCACCTCCTAAGCACTTCCAGAAATAGTAAGTAGACATCAGCTCCATAAATACTAATATTATCATTGTGGGAGAAAAGCCTCAAGACAGAAGTACACAGTTTTATATAATTCTGTAAACTGTATCATTTCATCAACTTAAAAGTGTTTTCAGCAAGCCTGCCTCAGAGAGTGCTGTGCTACTGTAAGTCAAACGTGAGCAGGAGTTTGCTGGGGCTCAGTAGTTGAGGTGACTTGCATCTGAGTTCAAATATTTCAAATCAAAATAAGTTCTTTCCTTTTGTAAGCTATGGCAGCAAGAGTCACGATGAATTGATCATCTCAATGTTTAAGTAAGCTTTGAAAGAACTTTTGAAATTGGTGCCTGGAGCAGACTGCAGATACCCGGTGCCCAGTGTGCCCAGTGATAAAGGGGAAATGGCTTTCTCCAGGGTCGGGACGCCTACTGTCCTCAGCATTTAACTGTGGATGACAACTGTGTTTTCTGCGTGTCTGTTACCACAGAACTGTGGATTATTGTGTGTTCAATCTTCTACTCAAAGTACATTGAGAGGTCTTTATAATACATACAGTAATATCAAGTAGCACCTCCTCCCTTAAAATTCTTCAAAAGTCTACCGGTTGTTTTGGGAAAAACTTCAAAATCAGTACTGCGGCCTCAGGGCATTTTTTGATCTGGTTAATGCCTTCCTTAAGTCGGTATTCTCCATCAGACCAGCTGACTAGTTCCTCAAACATACCTGCATGTGCAGGAAGGCTGATAGCTCCCCAGACGCTCAAAGCCATTGTCTACTTGCCAGTCTCTCTTGGGAATGGTTTTTATATTTCAATTTCTGTTTTTCATTATGTACATATAGGAATATAATTAATTTTTGACTCTTGATCTTGTTTCTAGCATTTATAAATGCACTTGTTAATTCTGGTAGCTTTTGGCAGTTACTTGGGGTTTTCCATGTTCAGAATCATGTTGTTAGTGCAGATAAAGACAATTCAATTTCTTTCCTTCTATTTTTTATTTTTCTTGCTTGTATTGTACTGATGGGTTTCTATGTTAATACCTGTAGCTTTATCATAGATAGATTTTTATTAGATTGGGTAAGTTCTCCATGCGGTTAATATGTTGATAATCTATTAATTATAAATGAGAATTGATTTTATTGATATATCTTCTACTTTATTCCTTCAATATGGTGAATAAAATTGATTGATTTTAAAATATTAAAACAATTATTCCTATGATAAATCTTGCTTGGTTGTGATACTCATATACTACAGTCTTTATATGTTGCTGGGTAGGGTTGCTAATATTTCACAAAGATTTTTGCATCACTCTTCATGAGTGATTTAATTTTCCATGTCTTTGCATAAAAATTTGCATAATATTGGTATTACTTTTCTTCAAAAGTGATTCATCAATGAGACCAGTTGGTCCTAGAAAATAATTGGTACAAATTACAGAAAAGGATAGTAAGATGATTCTTACAAAGAATTATTTTGCCAGATTTAACTCTATCCTCTATTCTTACTCTCCTCTCATTTTTTATGTTGCCATTTAATATTATGAGTAAAAGAGTGAGCTGAGACAATAAAGATATCAGCCTAAGCAGTTCCATTTCCCCTAGTGAATGAAAGTGGTAGTGGTGGGGGAGGGGAACGGAAGAGCAGCTACAAAAGGCATAACTCAAGCCTGGGGTTTATACAGGAAGTCAGTTGTTCTGATTCCTTTAAATTAAGGCAAAATTGTCAGGGTCAGGAGCATTTACATGAGTAGGAGAAGTGGAGCCATATGCTTTCTTTCAAACTAGAGGAGAGTTCATTCACTCATTAAAGATGATACAGAGGTCAGTATAATCTTCCATGCAAAGTAACTTAGTCTAGTCTTGGTTGCTCCCCACAGATCCCCCTTTCTTTTTATTCTTTAAGGCGTTGATGCATGCCTGTCTTCGGTGCCCCACGGCACATACTCTGCTCAGCTAGAGTTGCCCACAGGTGCTTATCGCCCTATCAATCAGACAAACTGAATCCGGGTCCTCTCATTGCCATGTTGTGGGGAGGCTTTTAGGCGCTGATGCGTGCCTGTGTTCGGTGCCCTGCAGCGCATACTCTGCTCTGCTCTGCTAGAGCTGCCCACAGGTGCTTATCGCCTTACTAATCAGGCAGACTGAATCCTGGTCCTCTCATCGCCATGTTGTGGGGAGGCCTTTTTTATTTTTCTCTATTTCTCTCTATCTCCAGGCATTCCTATTTCTCTTATTTTACTTCTATCTCCCGTCATTCTTATTCCTCCTATCTGTGTGGCTTCCCGGCTCCACGCGCGCTCCGCGGTCTCCGCGCCCTTCGCGCTCGCCCCGCGGCCTCCACGCTAGCCCCGCACTCTCTCTCCGCTCATGCCCCGTGCTCTCTCTCCGATCTCGGTGGCTTCCATGAATCACGGCCTAGCTTATGTTTCCACTACAGTTTAGCTTCCATCTTTGTTCCCCGGGCTAATCTGACAAATCCCAACCTACCTTACGTCTCTGCTTTCGGCTTGGCTTTCCGTCTTTGCTTCCTGGGCTAACCTGACGAATCCCAATCTAGCTTACGTCTCCGCTTTTGGTTTGGCTTTCCGTCTTTGCTCCCCGGGCTAATCTGACGAATCCCAACCTAGCTTAGGTCTCCGCTTCGGCCTACCCCCGTGGCTTCACCTTCCCTAGTTTATATTTTTCTCTCCCAAGTACTTTTCCTAGCTTTCTTCCAGCAATATTTCTCTCTCATTTCTCCTAGCTTCTCCCCACAGTCCGTATCCGAGTTTTTCCCTAGGCTTTCGCTAGCTTCTCCCGGCACTTTTTCCGTCTGGCTTTTCCCTAGGCTCTCCCTAGTCTCTCTACAGTATTTTCCCACTTCTTCTCTCCTAGGTTTCATATCCGAGTCACGGCACCATTATGTCGCTCCCCCACTTGCGGAGGAACGACACAGGACCCTGCGCTGTTCTCTTTCCCTGCCCCTTCCCGGGTT